TCAATGCCACGTAGAATTAAGGCAGTTCTGAAGGCGAAAGGGGGTCAAACACCGTATTAGTATGGTGTTCCTAATAATCATTTAGGTGAGTGTATATCTAAGTATACTATTTATTTACAAGGGGTGTTTCCCCAGCAAAGATGATAATCGCCGGTTAGTCACTGTCAGATATCGACACTGGGATACTTGTCTGATTACGCTGATTACCAATAATATTGTCATATCACCCAGACTTAATTGGTGATTTGACATGTTCCCAGGTAAAACAATACAGGGAAAAAAGGATTTTACTTATGGGATCAGGAATCCAAGTGCCAGTTGTTGCTGCATTAGCTGCTGGGGACGTTCACATCTCCTCCTTTCAGTGATACGTGTCCAGTGTAGGGACACCTGGCAGAAAGATGGCTAAGGACTGCACTGGAAGCTCTGGTCTGACTGTTATGGGAGGGTTCACATCCATCTTGCTGTTGATGTGTTCCTATATATTCTATGATTTTTGGCTGTAGCTTGTACTTAATGTTTGTACCTCTAGTTTTGAGCAAAGATGCACTGCAGGCAATTAGTGATCATATGACTGCAGCAAATTGCCAGGATGCACAGAACACTCTGTAGACTATAATTCATTTTGAAATGTAAGCTGTGCTGCTAATTATATTGAAAACAAATGCTTATTGTAATGCTTTGTATTTTACTAATGTGTAGGATATGTATATGTCTGTGTCTTAAAGTGTTTTCTGTTTCAGGCTTAACAGCTGTGATCTCACAGATGAAAACTGTGAAGTGTTGACTTCAGGTCTAAGATCAATCTCTTCCCCCTTGAGAGAGATGGACCTGAGTGACAATAACCTGAAGGATTCAGGAGTGACGCTGCTCTCTGCTGCACTGGGGGATTTACAATGTAAACTGGGGATTCTGAGGTCAGTATTATCGGGTATTCCACACTGCAAACTGGGGGTAATGAGGTCAGTATTTCTTGGTATTCCACACTATAAACTGGAGATATTGAGGTCAGTATTACTGGGTATTCCACACTGTAAACTGATGATACTGAGGTCAGTATTACTGGGTATTCCACACTGTAAACTGGGGATACTGAGGTGAATATTACTGGATATTCCACAATGTAAACTGGCGATACTGGGGTCAGTATTACTGGGTATTCCACACTGTAGGCTGGAGATACTGAGGTCAGTATTACTGGGTATTCCACACTGTACGCTGGAGATGCTGAGGTCAGTATTACTGGGTATTCCACACTGCAAACTGTGGGTAATGAGGTCAGTATTACTGGGTATTCCACACTGTAAACTGTGGGTAATGAGGTCAGTATTGCTGGGTATTCCACACTACAAACTAGGGATACTGAGGTCAGTATTACTGGGTATTCCACACTGTATGCAGGAGATACTGAGGCCAGTATTGCTGGGTATTTCACACTGTAAACTGGGGATACTGGGATCAGTATTACTGGGTATTCCACACTGTAGGCTGGAGATACTGAGGTCAGGATTACTGGGAATTCCACACTATAAAGATGAGATAGTGAGCAATTAGCTAAGGGAAAGGGAGGAGGGGGCCTAAACTAAACTGTAATTCTTGAAATATTTATTGGAGCAGTCACATTTATTTAATATTTATAATGGTGAGGTGATATTATTTACTGGAGAGTTTCTGTCTCTCTCTCTCTGCAGGCTGGCAGGCTGTAGAGTCACAGAAGAAGGCTGTTCTTCCCTGGCTTCAGCTCTGAGGTCAAACTCCTCACACCTGAGAGAGCTGGATCTGAGCTACAATCACCCAGGAGACTCAGGAGTGAAGCTGCTCTCTGCTGTACTGGAGGATCCCAGCTGTAAACTGGAGAAGCTGCAGTGAGTACAGAATATACATTTTACAAAAAAGGAACTGGATACCAAGAAAACCTACAAGGCATTTCAGCAGTTACATAATAAACAAACAGCTTCTGTTTTCTTCTCCTACTTCCTACATCCATTCAGCCATATAATCCATGCAAAACATTTGTGTTGGTTAGCGAAGTTAACGGTTCTGTTACAGTTAAACATACTGACTTTAACGTGTTATGGACAAAAATATAATGAACACCAAACAGAATCGGGATGATTTTTAAAATGATTTTTAGTAATTTAATTGTTTTCTGAAAATCCATTATGTCATGGCCCCTATTCTCCTCATTTGAATACAGTGCTGCAGTATAAAAAGTGGATTTAAAAATGTTTAATTTTTTTAAGGGTGGGCCAGTGTGAACTCACAGAGAAATGCTGTGAGGTGCTGGCTTCAGCTCTAAGATCAAACTCCTCACCCCTGAGAGAGCTGGACCTGAGTGACAATGACCTGCAGGACTCAGGAGTGAAGCTGCTCTCTGCTGGAATGGGGGACTTACACTGTAAACTTCAGATACTGAGGTCAGTCTAACTGGGTATTCCACACTGTAAACTGGGGGTAGTGAAGTATTATCAGGTATTTCACACTGTACGCTGGAGATACTAAGGTAGAAAATAACTAATGATTTCAAAGTAAAGCAATAGTATCTAAGTCTACAGGTTGAGTTAAAAATAACATTAGAATCGCTAAGTGGAATGTCGAAAGGAAGATTCTATTGGAGGCTAAGGATGACATTAAAAGTTTCATCCAATATTTTAACTCCAAAAGAGCTATAAAAGCTGAAATCACTAATCTGCAGGATAGTAAGGGCCTTATAATTCAAAGAGAAATTGATATAGTAAATGAGTTTAATGATTATTTTACACCAGTGTTCACACTAGAGGACATGATTAACTTACCACCATTAGTATAAATACAGTGTTGCATATAAACAATATACAGTGCCCTCCACAATTATTGGCACCCCTTGTATAGATTTGTAAATAAGGTTAGAAAAAAATTCACCTCTTGGTGAAGCAGCTTCACCTCACACTGAAAAAATGAGAAAAATCCAACCTTTCATTGAAATAAATTTATTTAAAGAAAAACAAATCCTTCATCAAGAAATAATTATTTTCAACAATAACACATGTTCCACGATTATTGGTACCCCTGTGTCACGATGTACGCGCCCGGAGCGCAGACAAACTGGAAGCCAGGAATCAGAGAACAGGGGGTTTAATCAGACGAAAGGCAGGCAATAACACATTGACAATACACATGTAACGTCAATGACTGGACTGGGGGAACGAACGGAAACGCGGACTAAATACACTGGACTAATGACAGCAATCAGAAACAGCCGTAAAACACTGGTAATCCACATGAGGTTAACGAGGGGGTGTGGCACAGGAGGATCGGCATGATCGGGGCGTGACAGGACCCCCCCCCCAAAGGCACGCACTCCGGGCACGCCTAAGGGGAGCGAAGTGACGGGGACACAGGACCTTTAAAACAAAATCAAAAAACTCAACGGGGCACAGGGAACAAGACAGACACGCAGAACAGACACAGAGACAGCAACTCAGACAACCACCGACAAACAATGGGAAAAGCAAACAGGCACAGGGGAAACAACACAGTAGACACAGGGGGAACACCAACGGGAGGAACAAATGGGCCAGGAGCGGACGAAGGAGAAACAGGAGGACGAGGAGCAGACACAGGGGGCTCAAAGGGACCATAAGGCACAGAGCGACCGGGGGCAAACACAGGGGGCACAAAGGCAGGAGGCAAGTAGGCAAAGGGCAGGGGGAAACAGGGAGCCGGAGGGAACCCCGGCAGGCGAG